TGTCTGCCTTGGTTTCGCTCCTTCTCCTAGCTACTCCAACGCAACAACTTCGATCCCTCCGCCTTGCCGTCCCGCAGATGTGTATAAGAGACAGTCCCTCAGCAACCCCACCCCTTTACCTCCTTCTTGTCTGCCTTGGTTTCGCTCCTTCTCCTAGCTACTCCAACGCAACAACTTCGATCCCTCCGCCTTGCCGTCCCGCCAGCGTTTCGACATCCCGCAAGTGAGGGGTCCTCTCTGTTTGAGTGACACGGCCTCTCTTTTATAGTGGAGAGGCCAGGTGACCGGTGCTGAATGCCGCAGTCCCATGGTCGGACCAGAGCTAAAATAGCCCAAGTCTGAGCTAAATTTAGCACCAGTCCCGATCTTGGGATATGAACAGCAAGTCCTAGGTAGCCGAACAGTCAGTTTCAGGTAGCTGAACAGTCAGTCCCAGGTAGACGAACAGTCAGTCCCACACTAAAAATATTGTGGGACTGTGCTAGTTTTAGCACGGGACTGGCGCAGGCCCAGTCCCTGGTAGACGAACAGTTAGTCCCACGCTAAAAATAGCATGGGACTGTGTTAATTTTAGCACGGGACTGGCGCAGGCCCAGTCCCCGATAGACAAACAGTCAGTCCCACGCTAAAAATAGCATGGGACTATGCTAATTTTAGCACGGGACTGGTGCAGCCCCAGTCCCCGATAGACGAACAGTCAGTCCGACGCTACTTTTAGCGTAGGACTGTGCTAATTTTAGCACGGGACTGGTGCAGGCCCGACTTTGGAAAACGAACAGTCAGTTCCGTGCCTAAAATAGCACGTGACCATATTTTAATTATTACTAGGGCCGGGTTATTTATTTACGTGACCATTTTGGGGCTATTCCGCTTCCGACGGAGTTAGGCGGTCGCGTTGGTCCGGTCCCGATCGGTCAAACAGGTTTATGTCACTGACCCTTGGTCCGTTTCAAGTGCCGCTTGAAGCCGACCCCACTAATTGGCCCCTTGCGGTCGCGACGGTCCAGTCCAACGGGGACGATCTGGTCTCCTGAGGACCGTACCGTCGTGCTGCTTTTCCGCGATTTTGGCCCTAGGGAATTTCAACTGACACACTAGTGCCTAGTTGAGTACAACCATGGACAATCCCCGGTGCAGATTTGACGCAGCGCGGAGGTTGACCGCAATGAGTACCCTTCCGTGGCTGCGTCGCATCGCCTTCCGACAACGTAACCGAAGCTTTGTCACAGTACTTGGCTTTTCAGGGCTCTGCTTCTATTTCGCCAGGTACGGGGGCTCGTCACACGGATAGGGGTCACACCAATCGTCACCTTGGTCTGTCTCAGGGTTCGTTTGGCCGACGTCAACATAGGGGCTGTCATCGAATACAAGCTCAGGTCCTCTCTTCTGTTTCTCGTTGATAGTCAGGTGCCCGGTACGAGTGCAGATCTCCTCTGTTGCGCTATCACTGCCTTCATGCTCAGAGCTATGCATACCAGTACGCTCCACCTGCTTTTTCGCCTTCCTCTGCACAAGTTCCAGCGTCAGGCCAAGATTGGCCTCCATACGGTAAAAAAAGTCGCTAGTCTTGATCGCAAGTTGTAGCTCCATCCTCTTGTTCATCTCAGCGTCACGATCAACTTCCTTCTGCAGCTTAGCCACTCGCTTGCACTCCTTCTTCTCACATGCCCGTTTCTCCGCTGCTTTTCTCTCTTTCTCTTCCTCAGTTTCTCGCTTCAACCTCTCCTCTTCCGCCTTCCCCGCCTTCTCACATTGGACAAACTCCGAAACCGATGCCAGACTCTTGTTAAGTTCCTCAATCTGCTTTTGCAGGAGGTCAGCCTCCGTCGTTGTTTGCGCACATGTCCCGTTCTCGGTCCGTCGAGGGGAAGCGGACCTTCCCTTTCTCGTGTCGTAGGATGTTGACGGACGGTAGCTTGTCGAGCACCATCCATGCCTGCACTGATTAGCATAATGGCCACACTTGTTGCAAGTGAAGCAGCGCGGTGGAGAGCGACGATAATACCTCTCACACCTCCTCGATTCTGGCCACCATCCGACCTACGATATCCCGTACGGTCTTCACTGTTGGAGCGCCTCTCGCACCGCTCATACTCTCTCCTGTCTCCCATCCTGACCAACAACTGAAATCCATAGTACGGTAATGAAATGATACCCAAATGGTACCCACACTCACCAACCTCAGTAATTGCTCTCTGAGATAGTTAACCTGTGCAGTAAGTAGTAGCAAATAGAAACATAGTCAACGAACAAGTCGCGACTTAGTCGTCAGCAAACAAATCGTGACGTAGAAAAGTCGAGAGTCGACAAAGAAGATTGGATCATTCAAAAAATTGGAGAAAAATACAAGTCATAAGGTCCAATCAAGCAGTTCAGGTCGGCCTCCCCGACGCTTCGTTTCGGCAACACGCCACGTTGCCATCATCAAGGGGTCTCTCCAAATCCTTCTCCATAATCGTTACCAATCATCACCATCAAACCCTCTTTCGCCTCCTTCGCTCCGATCATTCCGAAATGATTGAGGATACAAATCCGCCTGTCCTGAAACTAAGAGGTCGACTATTCCGTTCGCTACGTATTAATGGGCACGTAAAAACCGAAACAAGTGTCGGAAGTAAGCGTCAACCGAAACTTCGAGTCAAAAGAACCACGGTACCTGGGCCCGACTGAAAGAGACCGGTACCTGAGCAAGTTGGTACCCAAAAAAACAGGTCAACACACACAGGGCTCAAATCAGGCGGGATACGCCTCAGAGCCCAACAAATTTCCTCAAAGTCCTACAAGTCACCCCATATGTCACCGGTTCGAGTCCAGCATCGCGCAGGGTGCCCCCTCCTACAACACCTCACGTCTTTCCGAACAAGCAAATATTGGAGCCTACAACCTAACAACTACCAACTAGCTCCAAAGCAACTATACACAAGCAGACCCTATCAGATGATCCATCCCAAGCAAACAACCTAAACATGCTATCAAAATCAACTACCAAAATACACCCCGCTAGATGCTCCATCCCATGGGAGTTACAATAGCAATTCCTAGCATAGTAGCTCAACAACCTGTTTCCACATCGCATCCTTAGCTACGACAAATCGCCTCAGCACACGCTAAAAATTCTCAGACCGATAGCCTTTCAAACGCAACTCCCTCTTCGCAGTAAGTACACACAAGGGGATCTTTGAGCGAATGGTGGTGTTTTGGTCAATCCTATGGAGGTAGCTGCTAATAATCGTGTTCTTTTGTTGCTTACTACCCCAAGAAGAGAAGGACTAACCATTCTTAAACACCAACGTTTCATCATTCCAAACGTAGTCCTCGTTTTTCACCTATTGGACCTTCCCCATGAATGGGTATAATTGTTTGGTTCTCACTTCGCAGCCCAAAAACTGCAGAATCCCATTGCCTGTGTCCGTACACTTGAGTGACAGGTTGCTCGGATAGCAACTGTGGAATTGACGACGGACCTCAGCATGTTTCTCCTTACTCATCGAGAAGGTCACCAAGATCACGTCATCAATAAGTCTCACACCAATCACATTATTCTGAATCTTACCGAGGCTATTTAAGAACTTACAGTTCACGTAGCCACACAAGATGCATGCGAGGGGAGGGCTCGTGCTCTTACCAATAGGGATGCCAATCACCTGTCTCAAAAGTACACCAGTGGCATAGGTGTAGGTATGCCTAAGTTCAAAGCGAACATACCCAACGATGTCGTCAAGTGAAATACAACGCCAGTGGTCGGCACTAATTGTTTTCCTGAATGTTGCCTCTTTTCCTCTCCAATTCACACGAATGAACGACTTACCCTTGGTCCTGTAGTGCTTCACAATCCAGTACACCGCTTCGACAATATATGGGTGAGGTAGTTGGCTAAACATGTCTTTAATATCGTATGACGAGGACTCCACACTGTGTGCATGCACATGCTTGCCCATCTTACTGTTGATCCTCTGTATTTCGTCTGAAAGATGTGACACAACCTGGAGACTGAAGTGGCAGTCAGCAGGCAACCTAAACAACAAGTGGTTAAGTGTCTTTGCCACAACTTTTCCAGTGCGTACCAGTGGTTCATTGTAGGTTGGGCAGATCGGTCGGAATCGACTAATATCCTTATTTTTGGGTAAGATGTATGCTGACACAAAACTTCCCTTCACATCTTAATGCCCCACTTTCTTCAGCCCAGACTTCCCCAAATCCTCACGCATCTCAACCATCACTTCCTCAACAGGTGTTAGCACAACTCGGTAACGAGGGATCGTCACAAACGTGCTCATCATAGCAGCAAAATACAGAGCTGGGCAATGACGAAGGTTTCGCCTGGGTTTCTGTCCAGCGGTGTGAGTACCAAGGGTAGTCACCCTTCAGGTTATACCACTTAGGGAATCCTTCAGTAACTTCTCTCTGGAGCATCCTAACACGATCTGGAGGGTCTGAACGCGGGATGTCATTTGTGTTGGCCAACACACGGTGGTGCGGCTCACCTTCACTCAATCGGAAGCATACGTGACCTCCCACTCGTGGGAAGGTCATCCCTGCACAAACACAGGTAAGCACGTCACGTGCTGCAAATGCACGTTGATTGTGAAGTATGCCACCAATCAACTGGTTTTTAACCCACACGATCCTAACCTTCTTCCTCGCATGCTTACGAAAAACAGCTAGGTATGTCGCATACCATGATCACATCATTAATGCACTTCCTAAGCTCCGCCACAAGAATTCGCTCATCAAACTGCACATGGATGACCTAATCCCCTGACATACTAATCCCAAACTTGTCGAGGATCACACGAGATAGCAGTCGTCGTAGATATTTACGTGTAGACTTCTTCGTGAAATCTTTAATGGCACCATATAGACGCGTCAAAGACTTAAGCTCCCATTTATAAACATCCGAAAGTCTCTTTGGATTCTCCAAGATCCCAACAAGCAACTGTTTCAAAAACCCACCCTTCAATCTCAACGCCCGAAGGTATTCAATCATAATAGTACCACCACTCTCAAAGATTTGCTTACATGATTTAAGTAGTACTAACTCATCGGATGTCCGAACCGTGGATTCCCCAAATATTTTTCTCATCTTTCTCCAACCACTAGCCCATGCATTACCACCACTCGATATTATCGACAAACACTTGCATTCACTATTCAGCTTATCAAGGAGGAGGGTCCACAGGTCAACATGCCACGTAAGTTCGCGTGCGACTCGGACCCGAATCGGATACACAGATCTACATATCGACACAAAAGACTTCCCTTTCCTCTCATTTTCACTCTTACGACTCTTCTTGCCACTCGAGTCATTTTTTCTACACCAAGTAGTGTTAAGGAATGATGTTCACCGTCTGATGTACATAGTCTCGAGTTTAACCAAGTCAGCCTCCTCAAGGTGGTCAATAGGAAGAAGTACGTAATTACCTGCATCGAAGGTGCACAACCACCACTGAAAGTGAGTCTGCTTGTGGGTCCGACAGACGGATAAATGTTCACGCCATTGGGTATCAACATCCCGTGTGGTCTTCCCAATATGCCGGAGTTTACAGAACGGGGATATCACCACGTATACCACATGTGTTAGGTTAATGAACCCCACACCATGTATATCATACAACCTTCGCCAGGAATCCAAGAGCTTCGTCGCCCACCTAATCTCTACTCAAAACGATAGAATCAAGAGGCAGAGTTTAAGCACTTCATCCAGATCACGGTCAACGCTCTGCAGCTTACTGTGAAAACTTGCTATCGTACGCACGACCCGACATATCTCGTCAGACCCGTAGCTACATCACTCCTCCTCAGCATGTTCTTCATCGTCGACATTCGCCGATTCTTCTTCATCAAGTTCAGTGTCACTGGAGAGATCGACAGGTTCTAATTCGCCAAAGGCAACACGAGTCTTGTGGCTAGCAATATCAAAGACCGCGTCGATCTTTCCGTTGTACACAACACCCTCCGTCTTGCAGATGGATTGCAGCTCCTGAGCATCAAGACCACGTAAGTCTTCCATGACCCGGTTACGGTACCGAAGCTTTGTCACATTACTTGGCTTTTCAAGGCTCCGATTCGGTTTCGCCAGGTACGGGGACACCTTGGTCTTGACTTTCCCCTTAGCCCGCGTCAGACGGACAGGGGTCGCACCAATCATCACCTTGGTCCGTCTCGTGGTTCGTTTATCCGGCGTCAACATAGGAGGGTTGTCATCGAATACAAACTCAGGTCCTCTCTTCCGTTTCTCGTTGATAGTCAAGGGCCCGGTACGGGTGCGGATCTCCTCTGTTGCGCTATCACTGCCTTCATGCTCAGAGCTATGCATACCAGTACACGTCACCTGCTTTTTCACCTTCCTCTGCACAAGTTCCAGCGTCGGGCCAAGATTGGCCTCCATACGGTAAAAAAAGTCGTTAGTCTTGATTGCAAGCTGTAGCTCCATCCTCTTGTTCATCTCAGTGTCGCGCTCCGCTTCCTTCTGCAACTTAGTCGCTCTCCTGCGCTCCTTCTTCTCACATGCCCGTTTCGCCGCTGCTTTTCTCTCTTCCTCTTCCTCAGCTTCTCGCTTCAGCCTCTCCTCTTCCGCCTTCCTCGCCTTCTCACATTGGACAAACTCCAAAACAGATGCCAAACTCTTGTTAAGTTCCTCGATCTGCTTCTAGAGGAGGTCAGCATCCGTTGTTGTTTGCACACATGTCTCGTTCTCGGTCCGTTGTGGGGAAGCAAACCTTCCCTTTCGCGTGTCGTAGGATGTTGACAAACGGTAGCTTGCCGAGCGCCATCCATACTTGCACTGATTAGCATAATGGCCACGCTCGTTGCAAGTGAAGCAGTGAGGTGGAGAGCGACGGTAGTACCTCTCACCACCTCCTCGATCCTGCCCACCATCCGGCCTACGATATCCAGTACGGTCTTCACTGTTGGAGCGCTTCTCACCCCGCTCATACTCTCTCCTGTCTCCCATCCTGACCAACAACTGAAACCCATAGTACGGTAACGAAATGATACCGAAATGGTGCCCACGCTCACCAACCTCAGTGATTGCTCTCTAAGATAGTTAACGTGTGCAGTAAGTAGTAACAAATAGGAACATAGTCAACGAACAAGCCGCGACGTAGAAAAGTCGAGAGTCGACAAAGAAGATTGGATCATTCAAAAAATTGGAAAAAATACAAGTCATAAGGTCCAATGAAACAGTTCAGGTCGACGTCCCCGACGCCACGTTTCGGCAACACGCCACGTTGCCATCATCAGGGGGTCTCTCCACCTCCTTCTCCCTGATCGTTACCAATCATCACCATCAAGCCCTCTTCCGTTTCCTTCGCCTCAATCATTCCAGAATGATCGAGGATATAGATCCGCCAGTTCTGAAACTAAGAGGTTGACTACACTGTTTGGTCCGTATTAATAGGCACATAAAAATCGAAACGAGTGTCGAAAGTAAGCGTCGGCCGAAACTTCGAGTCAAAAGAACCACGGTACCCAGGCCCGACAGAAAGGGACCGGTACCTGAGCAAGTTGTTACCCAAAAAAACAGGTCAACACACACAGGGCTCGAATCAGGCGGGATACGCCACGACGCCCAACAATTTTCGCAAAGTCCTACAAGTCACCCCATATGTCACCGGTTCGAGTCCAGCATCGCGCAGGGTGCCCCCTCCTACACCACCTCACGTCTTCCCGAACAAGCAAATAGAGGGGCCTACAACCTAACAACTGCCAACTAGTTCCAAAGCAACTATACACAAGCTGACCCTGTCAGATGATCTATCCCAAGCAAACAACCGAAAAAAACTATCAAAATAAACTACCAAAATACACCCCGCTAGATGCTCCATCCCATGTGAGTTACAATAGCAACTCCTAGCACAGTAGCTCAACAACCTGTTTCCATATGGCATCCTTACGTATGGCAAATCGCCTCAGCACACGCTCAAAATTCTGAGACGGATAGATTTTCAAACGCAACTCCCTCTTCGAAGAAAGTACACGCAAGGGGATCTTTGAGCGAATGGTGGTGTTTTGGTCAGTCCTATGAAGGTAGCTGCTAATAGTCGCGTTTTTCTGTTGCTTGCTAGCCCAAGAAGAGAAGGACTGATCATTCTTTAACACCAACGTTTCATCATTCCAAACGTAGTCCTCGTTTTTTGCCAATTGGACGACCTGCATGAACGGGTATAATTGTTTGGTTCTCACTTTGCAGCCCAAAAAATGCAGAATCCCATTGCCTGTTGTCGAGCGTATCGGTCTAGCATTGCACCAGGGCAGCGCGGGACCCTCCCGGCCGCGTCACGCAGGAGTTGGTTTAAATCCTTCGCCGTCAATACACATGGAGCTTCCGCAAGCCGCTCCGGCCGAGTGCGCCAACCATACCTCTCGCGAGCTCCTACGACAGGATAGGGCCTACGCGAGGCACGACTTACCTCCACCTTACGGGAGCTGTCACCTCCCTTCGGTGGACGTATCCCCGCCGAGCTACCAGTCCACAGTACGAAAGCTAATCAGTTGCAATCGCAGAGGTGGACCAGCTGAGGGCGTTTCTCGTTGGCTGTAGCATAGGGGGTACGCGTGGTAATACGCCTCTATCGGACCCGCACGCGAACATACATCTTGGGGGGTTGAGGTCCCAAGCGAGACTCGTCATTGGTCGACTAGGACGCATCCCATGCACCACGCGCACGCCACTCTACGAACAAAAAAATAAAACACACACACACACGTCAAACAACGCGACAACACTCCTAGTTCCTTTAGTAGCCATCCCATAACTTTCCGATGCGGAAATCGAATAGGCGTCGCGCGCGAGACTTAGTATAAAACTGTGCGGACGCAGGGCTGATTCATACTGATTTGCAATGCAAGTATATGCAAGCAGTCGCAATGATGACGTACTATGTAGTGCCCATAATCAAGCGGTCCCTCATGGGTCCGAGTACCGCTTATGACACTCAAGTGTCAGACTCGAAGTGTCGCGAGGGTCTAATCCTTCACGATATTGCACGGCTGAAGGAATAGTCGTGCAGCCGCCGCGAAACCTCCGAACTTTGGCCTGAGCGTCTTGGTAGACAAGGCAAATAGGCTCTGCACGGGGGCAGATTCCTTTCCTGCAGAGTCTAGGGCTTGGGATGTCCTGGACAAGGACCTTGAATCCCGGCCCAGGACCAACGTCCGAATATAAAAATCTCAAAAAAGCAAAAGAATAAAAGGGGATCTCCCTTTTCTCTCTACCCATAATCTGGCTAACCCTTGTGCACGATCACAATAAGCCGCGCGCATACCCAAGGCACATATAAGTATATACATAGAGTTTATTTATACAGGACGATCGCTTCTCACAGTCTCAGTGGGACTCCTCTCAGCCATATACATATGTAATCGCACGCAATCACATCCAATGTCCGAACCTCAACCATACCTGCAATCACATCAAAGGTCCAACAAAAGTTCACTCACTAAATGGGGTTAACTTCAACCATTCTCTATACTCATACCCCTTGCTTTAGCCATACAATCCTCACTCTTGTGCAACTCCCAAAAATAAATACTCAGTACTTTTGTTAAATGACCATTCAATAAAGTCCGGGTGAAAACACAAAGAAACAATTCAAACCACAGGGCTAAAGCCTTCAGGTTGAGTGACAGGAGTGGATTGGAGTTGAATGGTAAACCGACGAATCGGCAACCGACCTGTTATCAGTGATAAAAGAAGATGATTCTCGTAGGATCAAGTTGAATCTAGCCCAAATCCTGAACCAATGGTCAAGAGGACCTGTAACACATGACAAACCAATCCCCAAGCTAAAGTTATAAGTTCATGGAGAATAATCTTCATATCACGATCCCACTCAAATCATCCTATTTGACTAAGCCTGAATCTACCTTTAAGCAGTGCCCAAAGCAAAAGCAGACCCTGGCATAATCTCCCCTATACAGAGTGGATCGCCAGAATCGCCACCTATCAAAATATAATCTATCTCCTTTAAACTAGGAAAATTTCGGCAGCGCTTCCCGTAGGAAAAATGTCTTTTCAGAATTTATATCAACCCGAATATAAAACCAGAAATAGTCATTGACTTTTCAATGTCCAATTTTGTCTAACTCCCTGAATTAGCAGAAATTTGGGCAGCACTCTCTTTAGAAAATGAGACTTCCCAAATTTTTACTAAGTCATGTATGAACCTTTGACTGGTTGAACTTCGAAAAGTCAGAAATTTGACTAACTTCTTGGACTTGCAGAAATTTCGGCAGCGCTTCCCGTAGAGAAAGTAGCTTACCAAAATTTATACAAAGCCAAATATAACAAATGATCTCAGAAAATGCAGAAATTGACCTAAGTAAAAAATGAACTTAGCTCAGAAAATGAAGGAATTGAATCTAACTCCTATGACTCTAACACGTGGCGAGCGACTAAAGCGACTACCTATCAACCTGAAACTCAGACCAAGTAGTAGCCTCACTCCGTCACATGCAGGCCAAACCACACAGGTAAGTACTCTCACCATTCCAAGTCAACTTAGCAACCAATAGTTTATGATATTTCAATGCTTTCTCCCCTTATACCCAACTTACATAAGGCATAAGGCCATGACACCCAAACTTATGGAATGTACCTTACTTAGCCAGGCATAAAGTCAGGCCACCCAAACTTATGGAATGAGTCTAACTTAGCCAAAGTATACACAAACACAGGGCACAACAACTTGTCTCTTCCTTGGGCATATCACTAGGCCATCCTAGCCGCCCTGAACTGTTTAAATAGCGAAGTTATATATATATCTCTAACTTTAATCTTCAAAGGTGGGCGTAGGACTGAGACATTCATCTTAGAAACAATGCTCAGCCGGCCCAAGTTACCTTCAATTATACTCTTAGTTGTACTCTCTTCAGGTTGTGATAGGTTATAGTTAGACCACCTAAACTTATAGAACAGTCTGATTAGCTCGTTCATAAGTAGAATAATAATAGAGTATGGCCAAATTATAACCTTGGGTTCCAACATGTGCGGGCTTTGAGTCAGACCACCTGAACTTACAGAACAGTCTGACTTTCTACCTAATTCATTTCTCTCTGATCAAATCTTTGCGTGGCATTGGGCTGGACCACTTGAACTTACAGAACGGCCTGCCCTTCGCCAGGTTCATTTTCTCAAAATAAAGTAGGAAGAGGGTGAGTCACCTAAACTTATAGAACGGCTCGGACCTCCTCGTTCTGAACCAAATAAACAGGGGAGACCCCCAAAATAAACAAGGCAACCAAGGCACCTGAACTTACAGAACGCACTTGGCCCCTGAGAAATTCAACCACAGTCAGCCCTCACAAGTCAGAGCAACCAGATCACCTAAACTTATAGAACGAGCTGATCCTCCATACAATATCACAACACTGAGTCTCCTCAAACTTACGGGGACTTCCCAGCCTCCGAAGCAATCAGACCACCTAAACTTATGGAACGGTTTGACGCTCCACACAATCCAAATAAAACAAGGCCCTAGGTCTCCCCAAACTTATGGGGACCTCCCAGCCTTAATGACCCAGTAAAACCTCATACAAAACAACTTTCTATCCTGCCTTTCCCCAGATACAATTCCCTTTTTACAATCTGCTTTGAGTCAAACAACAAAACTGAAGCTGACATTCTGCACACCTTCCTTTATTTGAGTCTGATTTGTGTCCTGAAAGTCACCTAAAAGTCAAAGTAGGGATGCATGTCATATACTCAGTCAAAACACAACATACAGTACAGATAGGGGCTATAATATGGGTTTATAGAGGGAAGGCAAATGGTTACCGGTCAATTCCCTGCCTCAAGAACTCCTCTTGAGTTCCGACAGAGCTCCTGCAATCGGTGGGGTGAACCTCCCACAGAGGCCTTGGCGCGGATTACGGGTTGCAATCCCGCCTGCAACCTTCCTCTCATAACCAACAGACTAGACTTAGATTAAGAAGGACTGATGAAGATGGCTTTGAGACTCTCAGATCCAGAGAAGGTGCACTCAAACTCGCGAGAGAGCGCCTTCAAATCTTCGACGCCTTAGGGCCCCGCAATGGTGGCCAAGTAACAACAACTTGGTCA